GGATCACCAGATAACTGAGACACTGCAGCTCCCACGCACGCAGCCTCCACCTCCTTCTAATTCCTCATAATTCAGAAATACTCACATTTTTACACACTTTCGTCCACAATGAAGTTTTATCAGACTGAGAACCTGCAGCAAGGTCAAAGTAATCACATGTAGTACCCTGCAGAGCCTGGTCAGAGCTCCTGAAGTCCACACCAGTGAGGATCCCCCGACAACTGGAGAAAGCCCTGGAAAGCAGGCTGGTCTGCTCACCCACGTGCACCTGCAGGACCTGTGCATGGGGATGAGCAAGCGGTGCTCAGTGCCCAGCAGATCCTGGCAAGAAGCAAACCCTGACACTGAAAAATATTTTGTTCCTCTCACCAGCTCTTGTCATGAGATTAAATTAATTAAAGAAAATTTTAGATTGAATACCCAGGGCGAGAAACCAACTTCCTGATATTCAGATGTATTAAGCAATGTAATCTCCCAAAGGAAGCAGTGGAACCCATATTGCTCAGAGCACTTAAAGCCAGACAGGACTGAACAATTAGTTCCCTTGTCCAAACTGAGACAGACAATTTCTCACCTGTGAACGGGCGCTCTTCCAGCAGACAAGCTCCGTCTTTAGCAAGAGCAGTTCTTCTCCCCGTGCTCTCACAGACATGACTGGGCAGGTGCAGCCCAGAGCTGCTGCCAGTGCCCTGCGGCCCCACAAGGCTCCCACGTGGGAGTGGGACGCAATCCTCCATGCCAAGAGAAAGGAAGGACACCCACAACAGGGTTCCGAAACAAGCATCTTGCACTGGTAGTGCCCTGCTCACTGCTGTGTGAACACACCAGCTACGTAGGGTTGTGCAAAGACTGGCTCTTTCTCTACACTTCCAGCACTGTGAAGAAACGCAGACCAAGGGTACCACACACACCTGTTTTTGACTGCCTCAGATAAGCACGCTCTGCAGGGTTGTCCCACCTCAGCCTTGACACCCAGCTGTAGGGCACTGCACCCAGCCACCTGCTTTGCCAAGCAAACAGCTCTACATAGGGTCCGGCTGCCTCCTCTCCACCTCAGTACCCAGAAGCCCTGCAGACACAGCCCTGAAATTCCTCTGCACCCTCAACACATCTCCCTGGAGCTGAAGCTCCATCTCAGCCCCACTGATCACCAGCAGAGCAGCCACACCTGAGGCACAGGGAACACAAAGGCAGCCCAGCTGGGGACTTCTCCACCCACTCCAGCACACCTGGAGGCTGCCGTGGGCCCAGAGCAGCAGGCTGGCCCACAAACACCCACCAACAGCCCTTTCTTCCCTCCAAATGAAACTAATATGAAAAAACAAACCTGCATGGCTTCGGCAGCACAGGTAGCCCAGTGACAAAAGCTTACTTGCATGCACAGCCCTCTTTCAGTTCAGAGGCATCAGATCTATTTCATTTTCTTAATTCAAGTCGGCGGTGTGATTTCAGCTATTTCCAGGTGTAGCAACAAATGTGCAATGTTTCTGTCTTCCAAGCGTACCAAGTCGCTTTGCTATAATGCATCAGATGGGTCAAAGTCCTCCTAAATCACGCTCATCGTAAAGCGATACTGCCATCACATAAATTTAAGCCTTTTAGTGCAGGCCTTTCATCAACTCATAATGCTGTCCATGCCACGAATGCTAGACACTTCAGAAAGCCTAATTGTAAGTTCAGGCTATGAAACGCTCATTTTTCTCTTCAAAACTCTTTTTATCACAATTTCTTGTTGCCCTATGGTGTATATTGATTTTATATATTATACAGCAAGAGAGATAATTGTGCGCAAAGAGCTGCGTGCCACTTAGGAAAAAGGAAAATAAATAAATCTATTTGGTGATAGCAGGAGACAAGCTGAGAGAATACATGTCAATCTTGCTAGAAAAATACACACCAGTCGCAGACTCTGCTGTAATCGTAGCAATTACAAAAGTAGATGCTAGATTACAAAAATACATCATGCAACTTCACAAGCTTCCTAGGGACCCCGTACATTTGTCTAAACTATATTCTAGCCTTCATTCTTCGTCTGCAGTAAATCTGAAGGTGGGTGTCCCCTTTGTCAGTGTATCATGAAAACTGTACCAGGTGGCTAATCCTCCTTAGGGAACTTGAACCTTGGCAAAGTATCTACCAGAGTCTGAACAGATGCTCAGGCACTCATTAACCAATTCATTTCATCGTCACACACGCTACGCCAGTGTAACATTAAAGCCTAACCACCCTTCCTCCCCGCCCCCAAAACAGAGAGCCGAGACTGAAAATCTGCCCTTCATTTGTTCAATATGGCCTGGGTTTGTAATGCAAGTTAAAGTTTTCCAACTGTCTGGAAACATGCAGATCAGCAACATGGCACAGCATGAACCCAATTTCAGAGTTTTCAGAACAGTGGGATGCAATTTTTGAATGTATTTTTGTGGTCCGGCTTCCCTATTTATAATAAAACAAGTAGCAGTAGGAAGCCCCTCTCTCCATGGGTCCAGTTCTGTAACCACAGTTAGATGAGTTGTCATCCTTATTGTATTGACAGACTCATTGCTGTAACATCACGCCCTGCTGCAGAATCAGGCCCTAAAGACCACAGAGAGCTTGAGGAGGACTTGAACCTTCACTTTGCCCTTCAATGGCACAGTGGGTTTAATGACATTAGCAGATACCCATGGACTCAGGATCTGGCTTCAGCTGAGTAGGAGGAAATAAAGAAGGAAGGAATCACACAGAACACAAACTCCAGCAGAAATTCGGGAGATCTATCATACTGCAAGTTTGTGAACTCCTGCGTGTGTTCGGCTGGTTTCAGGGACAGCATCAGAAGTAACTGAAGCTCATCTCTTTCAGCTTTTAGGGTAGAGGTTGGTGGCAGGGTAGGTTGTGACACGTCCCAAACAGAGGAGCCGACAGCATCTGCAGCAGAAAAGGGCACTGAATCCTCAAATGGACGGTGAGGGACCAGGAAAGGCCAGGGCCTGCCTGTTTTTTACAGCACTGGAACAAAAAACGGCAAGGAAGGACGCTCCGTACTCAGGAAACACCCCAACGCAAAGCTCCTCGCGGCCAGCAGGACTCCGCCTGCAGCCGAGCGTCGTGCAGCACCACCCGCCGCTTACCTGAGAGCCCCCGCAGAGCAGCCCAAGCGCTGAGGTACATCTCCGGGAAAACCCGCAGCCACAGCCCAAACCGGACCGAAGAAGAGCGACGAGTTTCACACAAGCTAAAGCCGGCTGTGGCCGCACCGCCACGGAGGAGCCACACTCCGGAGCCGGGCAGGGCGGCCACGTTGTGCGCAGGGCGGAGTCGCCATGTTGTGCGCAGGGCGGGGCCGCCACACGAAGCCGTTCCCGCGCTGCCGGGTGTCATGGCGGCCCCAGCAGCGCCGCGCGGTGCCGGCACGCGGCTCACGCGGCCGGCGCGTGCCGAACGGGAGCGAAGCGCGCCTGCAAACGGCGCGGCAGCGATTCCAACCGACGGCGCGTTCTGAGGAAATACAGCCTCAAATACTTTGACAAGCTGTACCGTGTCCAAATATCGCTTTTTTTTATTACTATTCAAGAAACACAGGTGGCTCCGAGCTGCCCTCCTTTCCCTCCACCCTGAGAAGGACAGAAGCAGAGCTCTGAAGTCGCCGTGCTTCATTCGCGCTGAGCGCCGCGCGGTCAGAAGGCAGGAGCTCGGAGCCGCGCACAGCCCCGCATTCGCGCCCCAGCCGTGCCCAGCACCGCTCCTTGCAGCCCGACGTCCCGCCTCTGCTGCTGCCAGCGCGGCCCGTCTCCACCCCCGGCCCCGCGCCGTTTCCCCGCGAGCAGCCAGGAGCACAAAGGCGGCTGCAACGCGTGGTGCTGCGACTTCAAGTTGCAGCTCTGAGCGCACTGCTCGTTTTGAGGCCCGCTGTCCAATGAGGTGTCCTATGGAAATATCCCAGGCTGCTCCGCTTGTCACAGCTGTCGTTTCAGCCATTTGCACTTACGCTGTATTGCTTTCATTACAAAAATAGAAATTTGTGTCCTAAGTGCTGTTACATTACTAATGCTAAATATTTAATTCCCCGGGGCTCTAATTATGGTTGAGCACTGGCAACACTGATTCTACTTTCTAATAACAACTGTAAAAGCAATTTGAGCATTTTTCAATTAATTAAATACATAGTGTACGAGTAACCTCTTGTCATTTTGCCCTCCAGGACCTGTGCTAATTTGTGTGGAATAAAATGTTTTGAAAATTAACTGATATACTAGTCTGATCGTTGTTGTTCTATTAAATTACGGCCTGCCAAGCCAGCCTGCTGTAATCGCTGCATACAATACAGTTTCATTATTTATGATGGTGCAGTGGTTGGTTGGAAAAAAAAAAAACAAAAAAACAAACACCCACCCAATACACTTCTGAAGCCATTTCCAGAGGCCTAATTAGCAGGAAGGAGGCGGCCTATGGCTGCTATCAACAGCAGACTTAGAGCACAGCAACTCTTCAGCTACGCAGCACAAAGCCTCTCCCCGCTTCCCAGACCCTGCTTTCACCTTCTCTCACATCTGAAATTAAAAGTGTTAATTAAATGACTCTCTCCTGTAAAACTCCTACGGATTAGTGGGTAGTTTACACTTTAGCACACGGGAATCGACTTGCAATGTTAAAGCAGCACACAAGGAGTTCAGAAACCAATTTTTCATCTTCAACTTGCAGAACCCCAGTCTGTCGGATGGGTTTGTTGGGATACAGAAACAGCTAAAAATACACAGCTTCTCATTGGCACATTCAGATATAAAACCAGTTCCTACTGCATATGTTAACAGGGTGCTAAAATTAACAAGTGTATATTTTCAGTTTATATAATGCAGCCCTAGAAATATAAGACAACAGTATACTACTGCATCTTACGCATCCCAGTAAGGAGCACTTTTCTGTATTAAAAATAATGCTAAGAATTATAACACATCCTTTAAAGAATCAGCAAAAGAAAAAAAAAAAAAGAAAACGCAAACAGATTTTAAAAACTTGTCTGCATTTTTTATTTGTAGCCACTGAATAATATTCTATCAGCGTAGACTTTAATATTGTGTTTTATTATATTTTATAGTATGCAATAATAGTAAGTCAAACGTAATGCCTGAAAAGTGCTTAGAGTTTAGCATTTAAATGTCTCCCAAAATACAGAAGTGAAAGCGTGACGGTCTTAAGCCAAACAGCCGTAAGAACAACACAAAATACAGATGATACATGATGCTACTAAGAATTTAATGTTGCCAAAGCATTTCTTATTAAATAACACTGCCATACTGGGCTTTCCACGCAGAAGTTGTCTGTGATTTAATTATAACTTTTTTAAAAGAAGACTTTGGGGGGAAAAAAAAAAACAAACAACAAAACACCTCCAGCCACTGTGCTGGTCAACACTGTGACTCTGTGACTTCCTCTCTCTCAGCGTGGAGATGGCTGTGCTTTAACCTGGAAGCATTCAGAAAACAAGAAACAGCACGTTTGCCTCCCCTGCTGTGTCCCTTCCCACTGATCCCAGGCACACAGCTTCCACCCACCTGGCACCATCTGGGGCTGGCAGAGGTGTGGCTGCTGCTGACAGCGTGCTGGGCTTGCTTCAAGGAGTCACAGCAGAAGAACCTGGCCTTCTGATATTTTCCACACCTTGTCTGCTCCTTCAGGAAAGCACTTTGCACCCTTACCTACCTGAAGCACGCTTGCTGAGAAGGCTGTGTGCTTAGCTGTGTGCAGCACTGGTCATCCATTTCTCACTGCAGCTCAGAGGAGCAGTGTGCTTGGCAGGGTGCTCCACATCGCGAGCTGTGTGAACAAAAGGCATGCAAAGTGAGCTAAGAAATGGCTCGATCTTGAGAGCTCTCTGTTTGTGAACTCTGCCTTGAACACGTATTTCTAGTTTTAAAAAAGGAATGCTAAAGATACTTTTAGGACACGAGCTGTTAACAGGAAAGGCAGACTGAGCGTTCTCAAATGGACTTCAAATTGTTCCAATATGCTGGAAGAAGAAAGCAAAGGAAAGGAAACGGATCGCATCCCTAAAAATGACACTGTCAGTAACTGTATCTGTTCAACAGCCATTTTGAGGGTTTCGTGTACAATGCACTCAGTCACTCTGGGCTGCAGTTATGAGTCTACTTTTTTCACAACTTGTAAGGCACTATGCAGGCAGAACATTGCGCTCATCGTATTTAAAACAAAACCAAGTCTCCAATTTATGTTACATGAGATTCCTTGCTTGCTACACCAAGCTCGCAGACACTAGGAGCTGCAAGTCAAACTAAGGAGGATTGCGTTTCAGTTTAAATAAAGAAACCAACTGCAGGATTCCTCTGGCACCAAGCAAACTAAGATCCTCAGTCGGCATTACAACGCTATTTTTTCTCCAGATAAGTAAAAACAGAACATACAATTACTGTCAAATAAAAGTGCTCATGTCTCCAGCATTTGTGTGCAGGTGTGTCTACGAAATGCATATATACAGGAAAAAACAAGGGCACGAGCAATGTATCAGTCATAGTTCCTTTCCTAAAGACAGTTTTATTTAACAGTGTAAAAACTGAAGTTTATCTTTACTCCTATTAAAAGTATCTCTACTTGTCTGACTGGCAATAAATTCTGGAAGCGTTCTGCTCACATACTGGGTTTTGAAGAACGTGCAGCATGTGTCAACTCCAATAAAAGCGGCGCAGTCCTTTAATTACCCCTGTTCACCCAGGAGCTGCTTTAACAAAGTATTTTTCCACATGTGTAAAACTGTAAAATAAAATTAAAAAAAAAAATCAGTCATCTGCGTGCAATGACTACTTAGCATCTAACAATAATGGATATACTGAAGAATGGAAATGTGAATTATGCCAAGCCTATAATTCGCAGTGACTGACTACAAAGTACTTGTAGCCAGCGTTAAGCTTTTAAAACTCTAACCCCAATCAATCATAAATGTAGAAATAAAAACTTTGTGGCCTTTTATGAAATCTAAAACACTACTGCACAGCTTTAAATAACGTTTCTAACTTTTTCTGAATCACACAGCATTCTTCCCACGTCAGATATGTTCTTCTGCATGAAAGCAGGCTTGCACATACACGTCAAAACATAACACCACTCTGAACACGAGCTAATTATACCTGGCATTCAGGACCTCACTGATAACACACTGCTAGCCTGAGAACAGAAGATACCCAAGCTGGCCAAAACTAAAGTTGCACAAGATTCAGAAGTCGAAGCGCAAACAACTGCTTCCCTTCTGCAGTGCCTGTGCCCCTGAGCCTGCTGCTGAAGAGCCAGCACCATCTCCCCGGGCTGCACAGAACTTTGAATCGCACGAGTTGCGTGCATTTATTTCAACCTGGGTGACAGCACAGCAACAAAAAGCCCATTAAGAAGAAAAAAGGCAGATAACCGGATGCGATCAACTTGCGATCGCGTTTTTGTGATGTGTCAGTGAATGGGTGCCAGCTAACTAATCTTAGCGGAGAACAAACCTAATTTATACACAGCAGGACGCTGTCAGATTATTTTAAACCTAATAATCATTTCTAGCAACGAGGTGACATCACACTTTGTAGCAGCGTACAAGAGACAGTTGCTCTGAAAAAAAAAAAAATCATGTGTTGTTTGATTCATTGGCACTGGGGTGGATGGATGGGGGAAATAAACCCACCTAAAGCCAATGACACATCACACTCCTTGGAACCAAGTGCCGCAATATTAAATAGCATTTTTGAAAAAGACTTGATTGTAGAAGAGAGAAGGCTTGCCAGATTAGTTGGTTTTGTTCCATTTGTCCCAAATGTTTTTGTTGTTTACGAAAGATTTACGAAAACGTGCCTAGCAGTTCAGTGGGAGCTGCCATGCCCCAGCTCTTTGTTACACTGAGGTACCTCCTTCTCTTTAAGCCAAAAGCACAACTAAGGCGACTCAGTCCGAACCCAGGTGTAACAAAAACCACAGAACCCTGCAAGGAATTCTTCCACCCCACTCAGCCATTTGATCAAGCATGCACATCTGTGAAACCATTTCACATCCTAAAGTGCTAGAAAATCTACCATTCCTTTTCTGATAATTTCTAATTATTCATTAGTCTTGTTAAAAACTTGCACCTTAGACTTTGTCAGTAACTGATCTTTATCCCCATATACCATCAACACGGATCGCCTTGAAAATGTTTTGCTATGTCTCGAATATGAAAGCAGTCCTATAAAATCAACTGCCATATTACAGATGTACAGATTGCTTTCAGGAACATGTTTTATTCAACCAAGACTGAACTGAAGCTAAAGGAGTTTGAAAGTGAGAGTACAATGCTATTCAAAGTTAAACTGTGTTTTGTCTAACATATCTGTGGCAAACATACAGAGAAATCACGTGTTTGCAATAATAAAAATAAATTATTAAATGCCCAGGATCCTGATATATTCATACAGAATGCAGCAACCACTGAAGAGCCAGAAAGTCTAGTTGAATCCACCCTATTATTTGGAGTATTTATAAAAATATATATGTATATATGTCTGCTCTGAAACTGTCTGAAATTGTATTTTGTTTTCTTTTTAGTGCTACATAAACAATATGACAGTCTTAACTATAGTACTTGATCATTTTAAGTGCTCAGACATAAAATTTTACTCATTGACATAACGTAGCCATGACAGTGCTCTACATAAGACAGATGCTATTTTACAGTACTGGTTTAATTATGTGAAACTATACGGTATTAACACTTGAGTAGACAAAAAGGGTGGTTAGAAAGCCATGAGTATTTCATTAAATATTTTAACGTGGGTATGACAATGGCCCACATTAAGATGTGAGGGTTCCAGGCTGTCTGAAGAAGCTCTGTAGGCTCGGCCCTCAGCAGCCACAGATGTGTCAGCAGTCCTTGGGAGACATGGTGCTTCACTTCTGAACACAGACAGCTCAGCAGGGGTCTGACCTCAGGCTGCCGTCACAGCGCTCAGTCTCGTGCCTGGAGCTGCCTTCACCTTCACCCTACAGGCTGCATTAATGGCAAACTGAGGATTTTGGGAATTTGCCTCCTAGAGCTACACATGCGCCAAGCACTGTACTGCAAGGAGAGGCTACCATGATTAAAAAACAGTTTGATAGATGAGCTCGAATTTTTTCCACAATGTATAGCAGTGCATAGCCAAATTAACTGAAAACTTGGCAGGAAAGCAATAGGTCTCACACAGTCATATCACATCTATTATTTAAAAATTACGTGTATGAAAAGAAATACTAGCCACTCTAAGTTCATGCACATCCCCAGTCTGGGATTATCCGCCTTAGTCCTAAGAACATCCAAATCTCATCTCTTCATGCTGCTATTTTTGAGGCCAACAGCTTTGGTCTGAAGGTACCGTGGTACAGCAGCACTGCTGAGGGTACACCAGCCAGGGGAAGCTGTTCTCTCCTGCAAAGCAGTGACATGGTGCTATCCCTGATGTGCACCAAGTTCTTCTCCAGATATCAGACACTATTTCCCTCCCTTGCACATGGCACATGAGAGAGGCCAGTGCATACTTCCTCGTTCTTTTGCTCAGAACCAATTAAAAGGTATCGAATGCAGCACCAGCTGAGGTGGAAGCTCAGTCCTTTCTGTGACTGAACTGAATTCTTTTCATCTAGCAGTGCCCCAAGAGGAGACACGAGCAGAGTTGCTGCTCTCAGGTTTCTGACTGCTCAGAAAGCCTCTTGTTCTTTGTCTGCCCAAATCCTGTTAATGGGACAGCACCTACAATCCATAGTCTTGCCTGCAAAAAGGGCCAGGTTTGACAAAATGTGTGCTGGTTTTACCCAGAATCCAAAAGATTCTGGGTACCAAAGATAACCCATACTGGCACAGGGAACATCGAGAGCTTGCATGTCTCACTGGATTCCTGCCCATACTGCAGGAATCAGGCAGACCAGCAGCAGTGGGTACGCAGACAAGCTCTGCTGCAGAGGCAAGAGCTCTTCCCTTTTCTCTAAAAGCTAGTCAGGACACCAAGTGACAAAAGCCTTCTTCCCAGGCACGTAGTGGTTAAGGCCACCTCTCTGATGAGTGTGTTCACACAACAGTGTGTTTGCTAGATATGGAAATATCAGCATCATTCAAGCATCTTTACCACAGAGGATTTCCTGAAATCACCATCCTGTCAGCTACACACACTCACAAAACCTCTCTCCACTCACATTGAACAGTACGAGTCATAGAACAAAGGTTTACTTTACATTACTCAGTATGTCTCTGAAACACAAATATCACTCATAACATAGCTTCACAGCTTTCCAACAGGTGAAGTTTTTACCTTAGAGACGCAGCTGCACCTGCTGCAAACACCAAACCACCACCACCAGCTCCACAACTCCCCTGTTGGTAACACCCCTTCCCAGGGGAGCCATTGATACAGCTGCTCTGTGTGCTCCCTGCTCTTCCATCAGAACGACCCAGGCCAGCAGTAACCAGCATGCGATAACCTGATCAGCTTGGGCTGAATTAATTCTGGATGTGCTCAGGAAAACAGTTCAACTTCCTTGCATAGTGGGAGCAATAACCTGCAAAAGAGAGAGCAAGCAAGTGTGCATGAAGCCTCCTTTTTAACCAGCATAGCTGCTGACTAAGGAGGCTGTATCTTTTGCCTTCTCTGAAGTTAATCCCAGAGGTTTAAGGCAGACTGGTGGAGGAAAAAACAAAAACAACGACAATACATACGAATCTGAAATTACTCTAAAATGCAACTCCAAGGACACATCAGTTCCAGTAGAGTCAAAATATAAGCCAGATACAATATATGGGGTTATAGTTGAAAAGACTGTGCAGAGAAAGTAAGAGTTAATAATTCTTAATTTGGCATAACATGACATTCCCAACAGTTTGTCTCTCCTCCCAATAGTTGTGTTTTGGCAAAGCACATATTCACAACAACATCATTGCACAAGACACTTGCAATTGGGGGGGAAAAAAAGCAAAGAAAGTAAAGCACCTTTCTTTGTAATGCTGTCATTCTGAAAACTAAAGGTTTTACAGAGGAATAAAATATGCTGATCAAAACATGAAAGGCAAAACCTGGTTCATTCCTTATTTGTTCAAGAATTACTAAAAAGAAACACTTTGCAGGAGGCTAGGGCAACAGTAATTTAGACAATAACAAATTGAGTGTTGTAAGAATAACTGTTTCATTGGAAAAAGAAAAAAGGAACTCTGGCAAGAAAACTTCTCACATGGCATTCAACAGACTTTCAAATAAATGAGTGAGGTATGCAAGTTCAATTAGTTCAGAAATAAAGACCTTCCAGCGGTTTACCATAATGACAACATTGTATAGAAAGATACAATAACTCTTTGTATCCTAAAAATTGTCAGTTTCACTTTACAAAGATAACTTCCAAAAGCATCTTGTCACGACAATTGAGTTTTAAGGTAAAAAAAACAACCACCTGTCATTTGATAAAATGATGAAGTTAGCTGTCATGAGAACCACTTACACACTCCTCTTTCCTGCTGTCCTTCTCATCTTGGCAGCAACCGATAAGAAGATTTCGGGGAGGTTTGGTCATCAATGGCAGGATCTAGAAGAGAAACAGTTTTACGTACAGTTAGCATTCTTACTCACAGCTTCTAGTTACTGCATTTCACTAGCTTGCACTTAATTAGTTTCCTTCTGCCAGTGACATGAGCACAATGGACAAACTATTTCATACAAATCGCTACTCTCTGCTGCAATTACACCTTACTCCATAAAAATACTGCCTCTTAATAGTGCATTCAGAGGTAACATTTACACGGCCCTGTTATCTACCGACTATGAATTGTCAACACCAGCCAATGTGTTAGCCAGTAGGAACCACACGTCACTCATTATCACACAGCTCATTACTTAGGGCGCATGGCTGAACTTGAAGCTGTTACACTGCTATGTAACTTCTAAAAAAAACAAACAAAAAAACAAACAAAAAAAACACATCATGGAAAAAAGAGCAGAAACAGATGCAATGACTATCAGAATTCAAGAGCTCTCACGGTGTGTTTTCCCAAAGCCATTACCTGAGATTCTGTTTAGCTAAGCAAGCAGCTTCACAGACTGGTCAGTGAAAAGTCCTGAGCCTTGTATCCCCAGAAGACTGCAGGACAACCAAGCTTCCAAGAAAGTAATTGTATTCCCACATTAAAGCGATCACAGTGCACCTCCAGATTTCTGCAGCTCACAGCAGATCTCTAGTTGGCTTCTGCCTTTTCTGTCTCCCACACACAAGGCACCTCACATCAACTGGCCTGAAGAGGCAGCTGATTCTTCACGCCAAGAACACCTTCATGCAAACAGCTTCTGCTTTCTTCCACCTTTCTTTCTCTGGTCCATGCTACCATGCAGTCACTGCACTGATGTAACAACTGCACTTTCTCCTGCTGCCCTGCAGCAGTACATCCACTGATGTGATGACAGGAAGAGAGGGTCTTCATCCCTACAGCAACCTCACTGCCTTTCGGACAGCAACTTGCTTCCTTTTTCAAGCCAAGCATTGCCAGGACAGAGCATATGGTCTTTCGAAGGGACATCAAATAAATATGACAGGTCAGTGCAATCATCATATTGAGTGAATTCAAATGATGCCGTATGTAAAATGAAGTGTGTGTGCATTATAAAGATTCAAACGACAAAGCCCCCTACCCTTTATCCCTCTTTGAATTATTTATGAATTCCACAACTCCAGCTGTTGCCACCAACCCAAGGACATCACCTCATTTTGGGAATGACATTTCATACTAAAAGATAAGTTAAAACAAAAAAAGACGACACTGGAGCTTCCTTAAAAAAAAAAACTGAGTAAAACATAACACCACTTTCCCCAGCACTGAAAATAATCAACAATCAGTCAAGCTCTTGTTTCTCAACTTGTTTCCATAATTCCAAATGCAGATTTCAACACTCATGCATTAACTCAGCCATTCATTTTTAGCTACAGCAGTTAGGCTAGATCTCTCAAAGCACCTTGGCTCCTCCTTGTAGATTTTTATGGCTCTAACAGTCCCCATACACCATGTACCACTATACCAAGTGAAAGCTTTCAGTACATAATGTGGTCTTTCTAAAAAAAAAATATATTAAAAAAAAAAAAGCTAATACTCGGTATGTAAGTCTTTTTTAATGAAAAATTATTTGTTTATTATTTTTATAATAAATTTTTATAATAAATGTTTATAATGTATAATGTTTGTAATTATTATTAATTATAAAAAGAAAAAACAGCAATTTCAACGCATCAAGTTTAGGGCACAAGGAATAGATTTCAACTAGCCGTGCCTTTCAGATCAGCAAATTCTAGATGGTGTTGACCACTTACAGACCACTTCTACTCAGGTGCCATGACATATTAGTCCTTGGACTTCAGACAAAGAGTGCCTGGAGTTGGGAGGCATCAGGGAGTTTGATTTCTATCACCCACATTTCCGTGTCTTCCCTATCCTGCACCATTTAGGGACATACGACCCCTAATTATTAACCCAAGCTTATATTCAATCCTGCATGACTTAACTGTCTGTTCTGCTCTGCCACAAATTAGATAACTCCATTTTTACCCATTAGCTTTATTTCATAAGGTTTTCTCCTTTACTTTCACCTAACTGAAGTGAGTTTACATTCTGCTGGTAGGAGATTCCAAATGCTACCAACAAGCATTTGAGATTTGGAGGTCTTACCTTGTTTTCTCTTTATTAATCACCTGAAAGCAGCCTAGCAATTGCAGCGGTTCTAATGCTAAATGGAGACACAAAGAAATGTTAGAGCTTCCAAGTTCCCATCACCAGAAATCTCTGGTCTCACCCACAGAGCTCACAGGCCATTTGTCAGCTTCCCGCAGCCAAGAACGCACCGTTTGGCCTTAGTGCCAAGTATGTCGTTCAGGCCTGAACCAGAATGCCACGCAGGCAGGTATTTAACAAGCAAACATGTCTTGGGGAAAGGCAGCAGAACGAGCTACTGGCTTGCAAGTGAAACAAGCCAGTGACGTTCAAGAAAAGCCCACTTTGGTTCAGCAGGACCTCCAGCAGTATCTGCTTTTGTTCGCTTCGGTATCACTGAGCTCACGCAGTGTTATCCAGGAAAAGCAGATGTGGTTAAAACAAACATTTATTTGCCCTTCGGACTGCAATAGATCTGGCACCCAGCCCCGATCTGTCTCCCTCTTCCTCGCTACTGTGGGAAAACTACCCAAAGAAGGCCTTCCCCTCCCACCTCCTGCTGGTAGCCAGAAAAAACAAAAGGAACAGAAATACAAAGGACAGTCAGACAGTTTGGGATGGCTAAAACACTACTGATCAGTTTAATGTTCCCAGCTGAACCCTAGCCTGCAAAAGCCCCCAGTGAGGTTATTACTCTCATCATTAACAACTCACCAGTATTTTGCAAACCCCTGGTGTTATGCACAAAACCTCTCCAACTAAACACCCTTCTGCAAATTAACAGATTATAGAAACCAGGAACATCTCTCAGATTCCAGGGTTGGCATTTAATTCACAATGCCACAGGTTCTCAAGTGAAATAACTTTCTAGCTGTGCTAGAGGATGACATTTGCAAAAACCACATTTATAGAAAGACATTCTTCTGAAGATTTTCACAAGCTACTTGGATGCAACTGAAGTCGCCCCTCAGAAAATAAGGAAAGTCATCTTTGTGCCCAAACACACTCACTAAACGCTCCTGGCTCCAATATCATTTCCTAATTGACACATTATACACAAACACCAACAAAATGTCATTTGGTATAAGCCTGCATTACACACTTGCTTTTGCCCAGTGTTCTCGCAGTGCCTGCCTTCCCAGTGTTGCACAGTGCTCCCAAATACAGATGACAAATTGATCCTTTCCTACGATAGCTTTTTTAGCATTCAATATTTTTAACAGTAAGAAAATTGCACCCCAACATGGTCTTTAATCTAATCCTTACCCTGAACAATTGAAGTACATCCGTATTAATCTATTAGATGCTTTCCCACACCACACCTATGGCACTGCATAAATTACTGTAATATAAATGAATTACTGCTTGAAAATTCTCATTCTGTAAGGAACATGCAGTGTTACAAGGCACCAGAAAGAAAAATGTGCACTCCGGTAACTAAGTTTTATAACACAGTATATCCAGCTTCTCATAAACCAGCTATTCTAAATTGTTAAAGGACGAGAATATTAGAGCGATCATATAGAACAAACATCAATATGTCTGAGAAGTCAATAATATGAAATTAAATCTACAGTTTATTTAGATACATTTCCATGCTCATATATGCGGAATCCACTTGAAAAATGCCATTAGGCTAGCTGAAGAATATTACTGCTAAAGACATTAACACCAACAGTAATTCTATCTCTGCCCTGGATAACTTGCATTTTTCTCTTTCATCATCTGATCTGCTGAACTGAACAGAGGAAGGAACTTGAAGAAAATAAGCAGTCAAACAAGCACCAAAAAACCAGCAGCTACGTTCTTCATGCTGCATATTGCTCCTGTTTAAGTATGACTTGTTTCAAGCTGCACAATTGCACTACCTAACAGTAAAGAATGAAAAGCTTCTTGCTACAAGCTAAAAAGAAAGTCTTTACCATGCTCCTTGAAGAGCTCATTTTCACATTACTCAGGCTTCATTATGCTGAATCAATATTCGTTTAGTCACTGGGGTTATTGACATATTTTAAAATAAAAGTATACCCTTCAGCTACTGCACTCATTACGGGTAATTTGTCTTGTCAGGGAGCAGGGAATATTATCCCAGTCTTTCAGGGGCTGACAGCCCATGGAAATACCTCCCCTTGGTTACAACTGTAAATAATTTTAAGGTAAAATATTGAAAAATCAATGACTGTTTCCTGCAATCTGTCACAAACAAATCAATCATAATCTCCGCAGCCAGAGAGTATGATTCGAAGGAGATGAGAGCAGATGAAATGAGAGATTCCAGCCAAGAATTACAAAATCACTTCACATAATGGTGTCATCATTTAAGCACTTAGCAGCCACTGCAACTGCCACTCATAACATCCAGTTGGACAGAACCCCAAGGAAGAGGAGGGAAAACGCCATTGCTGTTATGCAAAGAAACATTTTATTTAAATGGTTGCACCGTTAGCAAATAGCACAGAAATAACAGTTAGGCTTGTCTCTCCACAAAAGCTCAAAAACACTTTTCTTTCTCAATGGGAGAGTCTCTATAAATTGGCCCCTCGGAATGCAAAGTGTTTTAAAACAAAAGTAGGCCTCACAAAAGGCACGCAGTGATATCTGGTACTATCGCTGCTTCTGAAAATATTTCCATCTCCTTCACTCCAAATTGCTCCTAACAGAATTACACATCAAATTCTCCAGAGATTGAGGAAGGAAAATTGTCTGGAGTACCTTTGTCTTTTAAAGACCAATAAGGATTTCAATGCTTCTTTGTCCTCTCCATATCACATTTCACATCTAATTTTCATTAAGCACAAACCAACTCAACTTTAGCGTAGGTAACCACTGCAGAATACGGGCCAGGGGGGAGAGAGTCATAACCTACATAAATTAATTGACAGTACATTTGCAACTCGCACTCAAAGAGATTAACTGTTGTGTATGGAATTACATTTGTATAAAGGATCAATTTATAGGTAAAGAATTAACTACTGCGCGCTCAAAGCTCTGTAAGCTGCTCTTAGTAAACGTGAATCTTTATTTTGATAGAATACTGCTAATACTGGGGCTGAAATCATTTCCTCATTCACCCCTAGCCTCAGCACAGACTGCATTTCCACCCTGACACTGCAGTGCACCAGACACGTCTCTGCAGATCGGTTACGATCAAAAAGCAGCAGACAGGATGCAATCGTTGTTGTGCAACTGCAACCGTGGGCCAAAGCCTTGTGTTCCTTGCACAAACAAAATTCCCAAACGCTCATGGAGTGCTTCACTTCAGAGCCTATAATTTGAGCTCTTAATCTTTAATGTGCAGAGCTCGTTATCACATATTCATTTTAATCACATTAACCTTACCAACTCGTATTTCCAAGTGTTTATCTTGCAACTCTAAGACTAAGGAAAAAAATGCAATCAAAAGATGGAATTATTTCCTCTTCCCTTGCAAAGAATATATGTATACACACACACACACTCCTTATAGTCTTTTCAAAATATGAAAGAATAGGGCATACTCTACATCTAAGCAAACCTCTCTAAGATAGGCATTCCCTTCATGTAGGTTTTAAGTCTTTATCTTCTACATGGAAAACACACATCTCTAAGACTAACTCTTTATTGATACACATCAAAATCAATGTTGTTTGGAGCAAGCTAGAGAGACTCTCTTCCGAGCAAAATAAACTATTAAAAAAGAAACTAAATTCTCAGGCCAAAAGAACCAATGACTGCCTTTGAGACTATCCAAGTGCAAGAAAACTGCACGTACCAGCTGAGAAGTCAATCAACTTCTCCTGGGGAAAGGCCCCTCTATTGAAAGGAAAGCAGGGGGTGGGAAAAAAAAAATAAAAATAAAGAAAGAGCAGCTCCTAGAAGTGAACTGCAATACCACGCTATGGAAGGCATTGCTTCCCTGGATAAAAGTCTCAAATGAAGCTATCCGACACAGACAGCCTCAGCACCGCCAGCCATTTCCAATCTCCTCACTGGCCACCAGACCAGAGAGAGACCCCACTCACCACACGCAATGCCTTCGGTGCAGCACAGTGCTTCTCTGCCCCAGCGCCGCTCCCCTGAGCCACGCTGTTATTGCTCGTGGCCATTAGCCAATTAGGTGGGTCAAGAATCACAGCAGACGGACGAGATCCATTCCTCCTGCAGCCAGCTCTCCTATTCACAAAAAAGAATGCAATGATTCTTTCCCAGCATCGTAAGGCACTTCAATATTAATAATAATTAAGTCGGTCACATCTCCTAGACAACACTATCAAATCCTTTCATGCAATATTTGAGACTCATTGGGCTCAACAAGGAGAATTCCCAGGTTCAAAATGGAAAAGACTCACGGATTCCATCTTTGGAGGCAAGGGGTCCCAGAGGGCTGCGCTGCAGCAGGCAGCACACAACAGCTCCCAGCAAAGGATCCCTGAGAAGGAAGAGCAGCACATGCTGCAGCACCACAGACAAATGGACATTTCTTAGGTCAGCACTATGAGCGTTATTTTCTGCTGGACAAAGTATTAAGTTACTGTAGCAGCTAAGAACTATGAAGAACAATGGATATTTCTGGTCAAGAATAAGAACAATTTATTGAATAAAAAGGTACTGTTCTTCATTGTGACTTTCTCAAGCCATATAAGAACTTGCAGACAGCACTGCAGAAAGAAACGATGCTGGCTTAAAGATAAGCTAATAGCACTTTCTCTAGCATCCAGTTCCCCAATTCACTGTTCTTACTCATACTGTTTATTTAAGCCACCAGCCTATGTACATTTATTAAAAGCAGTTCCATACGATCCATGACCAATAATGCGGTGCATAATCACAGTTACAGCATTCAGCCTTACTGATAAAATTTAACTATTAGCAACACTCTACCTAATGGTGTTTATAAAATCTTCACGTTTAGGTGTTCTGAAACAAGGACTCTTCTTCCATCCATGAACTTCTGCACTGCTTAAACCGGTCTCACTGAGCTCATCTAGAGAGAAGAAAAAAAGAAAACATAATTATTACAATGTTTGCCATCTGCACCACATGACAGTCTTAAAAGAAACAGAACTAACACTGGAAACATTTCTGCTTTTGGTTAGAGACAGAACCCAGTAGCACAAAGGACAGTGCCACCAGTGCAGTGCTTTACTTAATGAATCATTCCGTACACAGAGCAAATCACTTCAGATTAGCTCTGAACAGGACTTCACATGGCTAAAAACTGCTGCAAGCCCAAGTGTATTCTGGCTTTGTGCAAGTCTCCTCCTGCATTCAGGTGTGCTTGCTGGGGTGGAGTGCTGGATTCGTTCTCCCCATCACAGACCCCTCTGCTTCTCCTCTTGGCTATGCTCTGCCAAGGCAAAACACGGACATGGGGAGAACGGGGAAACAGAATAATAACAAAGGAATCAAAGAATTATCTCTAACTGGGACAGACTTCCCTTACAACTTAGCATAAAGGACAGACCAACACAAGGGTCACTTCACCCACTGATCCAACACAAATGTTAAATCCCACACACTCCACGTTATCACCACACCCCACTGGTGGATGTTGGTTCTGTGTTACCTAAGAGTTGCACCATAAATAAAGCCACACGGCATCCAAAGGTCTGGGGAATATGGAAACTTATTGGCATTTAAATAATAAATCAGTAATAGCGTGAATAATTTGCTTTTACTTGAAAACACAACAGTCTAATAAGTGAGATGTGTATGGGCAACAGCTTAAATCTGAGAATTTCCAGGAAATGCAAAGGGTTCCAGTCAGGCAAACAGAGGCACGGAGGTTATACACACAAAGACATGACGTGCCACAGGCTGAACGAGGAAACAAGCTGCAATTGCAGACTCCTTGCTCCTTTCCTGCTACCAAGTCTCCCCCATCATCTTCTCGGTCCATCTAAAGCTCCTCAGCCGTCCTGCAGCCTCTCAAATAACCACACGGGTTTCCTTGGTGTCAGTTCTACCAGAGACTCGAAAGCACAGAGGATATCAGCTGAAGTTTAATTGAAGCAAGAAATTAAATACTGAAATAAACTTAAGAAAAAGCAAAGAGCAAACAGAACAAAGCGCCTTGAAAGTGTCTTTTCCAACCCAGGCTGTACAGAGCTGTCTCCTTCCCAAGAGACATCTGTGCATCCTGGAGCACAGAGAAGCTGCGTTCCTCCCCAGCCAGGCAGCCAGCGCGGAGCAATTCCGGCACCGTTAATATCATAAAGAAGTTGTAGGCATCTTTTTATAATGACAGAGTATTCTTAATAAAAGCTTCAAGCAGGTTTTACAGCTGCATATTATCCAATGAAACCAGTAATAAACAGCACTGTAGCATTATTTAGTGCACCTCCAATACGCCAAGAGTCACAACCTCGGCGTTATTTATCGCGCGGGCTGCAGCGATAGCTCTCAGCTCTGCAGTAGCAGCCATAGCCACGCTGTCCCAGCACACCACCATCTGGATATTGATACTTTGTTATGGGATATGAAAGAAGAGCTTAGTTACCTAATGCAGCTTAATTGAAAACAGAAGACCTAAATACTACGCCATGCGTTATTCTGTACAAAATTAAACGTGAAGGGCATGAAAAGTTTCACGGATGCCAGCACAGAAATGTTTCAGAGGTAAACGCTGCATTCTTGATATGTGACAGAAATGCTGAGAAACACTGAAAAAGCTGTGCTTGTGGAAAGAAAAAGCTGTGAAATGCCTCCTTCAGGAGGAGCAGGAGATCAATCGGTCACGAGTTCGTTAGCACAGTGCAATTCCTGTTACCTGGATGCAGCCTGCCTCTGTGCTCTGAAACAATGACTTATATGGAGGGAGAGAAAAAGAAAAAAAAAAAAAGAACAACAAAAAAAGATGATGATGATGATGCCAGTTCTGTGCAGCACACATTAATTTCATATGCAGAAAACAGCTTCAAGAATCATTTGCATCTGCATTATCCATACGAAGGAAGAGAAAGTAGAAAGGTTGTTCTCTGATTTCTGTTAACGTTCAAACTGTTACAAGGGATTCTCTGGTTGCAGGACTAGGAAGGCTGCCTCACCAGCTGTCACCAATACCAGAACTGCAAAAATACACTCCAGCAGAGGTAAAGGCACAAGCCAGCCCGGTAAAACACAGAGCCGTGTGAACACAGCGCTGCCATTAGGAGCCTGCTGCCTGCACACAGCTGTGCCTGGGACAGGTGCCGGCCCCACCGCAGCCCTGTGCTGGGAAGGGCACCCTGCAGGGAGCACAGCCACCCCTCACCTGCAGCTCCTTCGGCACTGAGAGGCAGCTGCCAGCAGAGGTGGCTGCTGGAAGGGAAAACTGGGTGGGTGAGACATAAAGGAGCAGATTTTTTTTTTTTTTTTTTTCACCCCTTCACTAGAGCCAGTCACATTTACCGCATATGCCTAAAGAACTGTAAGCAAAGTTAACCTTAAAGACATATTTAGCTCAGTCCGTATCACACCAGCAAATTCAAGCAAATCGCAACGTTTGAGTTCGTTACAGGAAGCTTTGAGGAAACAGAAACAGCAGCTCAGGTTTTCCCGTGGCACTGCTGGGATTGCTGGAGCTGTGTGTTCCGTACGGCCGCTTTGGGCTCACTGCGCTGCCAGCTGCACTCGTGCATGTTCTTATTGCACACACCAAACAGGTTTTTTGGTGCAATTAAGAAAAGATAAAAAGTGATCATCAGGCTTCTAGCAAAGAAACAAAAAGTGATTTTGCCTGCAAAGGTCTGCTGAAGAAAAGAAGGCAGAGGTCTGCCTGTGTTGTCCTGTACCTGACTGCCAGCACAATGAAACTGTGCCAGGTCTGAGTGGGAGCAGAGCACTAAAGGTAGAGTGCAGGGAGCAGAACTGCAGGGACACAGGGAGAGCCCCCCAAAAGCCACACCATGCTGAGAGCCGTGCAGGACTCACACTGCCTGCACAGCTCTGCACTTCCCAGCACCACACCTGGGGCAGCAGCTGCACGCACAGCACTGCTTGCAGTGCTCACTGCCAGAGCACTGTGTAGCTGGTTTCAGCTCCTGCTCACCGAGTTCTCTGTTGGTTTAACAGAACAACATGAGCCCCTCACAACTCTTTGCAGCCAATTAGTTTTAGTATTGTGAAGTTTGTTTCACAGTACTGTAAAGGTGAGAAAACTAAAACATTTTTTCTGTACAACTAAAAAATAATAAAATATATATATACATATACACACACACACACACACGTAAGTTTTGTTCTGCTGCTAATGCAAGTTGCTTGTACCTTTAAATGCATGACATAAAACACTCCTAGCTGTCAATTTCTCCTGCAGCCCAAAGTCTTCCAATGTGGCTCACAGGGGCAGCCTCGGACACAAGGGCTTTTCCCGGGGCCTCCAGGCAATTCGTTCCCAAACTACGGGGGAAACAGATCATCCAGCACGAGTCTGTAGGTGAGGAACTGTGACACAGAAATACCAGAAAAGGGCTGAGAAATCACCTCCCTCGCCCTGCATATGGAAGAAGAAAAAAAAAAAAACAGGCTGAAATGATCTCCTCGTGCATCTTCCTTCATAATTCATGCTGAAAGATGACGTTTTCTCCGGATCTTAATTAAGATAACGAAGCACACCTGTGCCGGCACCCTCTGCCAAGACGGCGTTACCATCAGCGTCTTTTAAGCGCATTTCAAAAACAAATAAATAAATACGCGCGCAAAGAAATAAATCAAAAATCGCGGCGCTTCTTCCTCGCTGCGTTTCGCATCCGAAACGGCCGCACCTGCCGGGGCCGCCACACGAGCGTGCGGTGCCGCCGGCAGGGAAAGCCGCGCCCGGCTGCGTCCGCGCGTCCCGAAGGGAGCGGCGGAAAGCAAAGGCGCAGCTCCGGCACCGCGGCGCTTCGACCCCGCGCTCAGCGCCGCCCGGGACAGAAAGTTGGGCGGCCGAGGAACCACGACAACAAACAAACGGCCGGCAAACAACGCGGGCAGGGCGGGACGCGACGGCGCTCGGGGTGCGCAAATACAGCGGGAAAACAGAGGCGGCTCCCCGCAGCGAGCCACGCGGAGCGCGGGTGACGCCGCAGAACCGCCGCGAACGGAGCGCTCCGCTCCGCGTGTCCCCGCGCCGCGCGGCCTTACCGCCAACCGCGAGCCCCGCTCCCCTCGGCGCCGGGCGGGGCGGCAGCCGGCACGGAGGCCCCGGGGCGGAGGTCCCGCGCAGCCGCCTCGCCGGCAGAGGGCGCCCCCCGAGCGCCGGGGCAGCGGGGCCGCGGGCAGCGGAGGCGCCGCCGCGTGCCGCTCCGCTCCTCACCTGCGGCGGGCAGGAGCCGCCCGTCCCGTCCGGCAGCGCCTCCGCGCGCCGCCCTGTCAGCGCCGAGCTCCCGCGTGCCGCCGGCGCCCCGCCACTCCCCCGCCTCGTTCTACCCCCCGCGGAGCGACGGCTCCGCCAGCCAACGGGAGGAGGAGAGGGACGGACGGCCGTGAGGAGACGGCCAATCGGATGGCGGGAGGGGCGGGGGCGGGCCCGGCGGCAGCGGGGCCCGCCGGGAAGTGTAGTGCCGTCCGGGGCCGCCCCGCCCGCAGCGGCGCCCGGTGCCGCCGGCCGATCCCTGCGACCGGGGTTCGAAGCCCGAACCCGGCGCGGGCCCCAACCGGGAAGGAGCTGCCGTTCGACTGCGGGGAGGTGGCCGGAGCCCCTGACCCGGCCCACCCTTGTCAAACACCGCCCCGAGCCGGCAGCGGGGCCCGGGGGGCTTGGGCCGAGCACCGAAGTAACGAGTTTCCCCCGGCCGGGGGCCGGGAGAGCAACCAGCGGGGGTAACCCGGGCCGTTCCCGGCGGGAAACAGACCCGGGCGATCGGAGAGGATCGCAGCCGCCGATCGGCGGGCAGTCGGCGCTGTTCGCGCGGCCCGATCCGCCCCGATTCCCCCGATTCCCGAGGGCTGCGCGTGTCCGTCCCCCCCAGCTCCGCCCGGTCCCAGCCCGGCCCGGCGGCACCCGACGGCGCGGCTCCGCGGTCGGAGCGCCGGGTGTACGGCGCCGCACGGCCGTCCCACCTTCGGCGGAGGGAGGAGCGGGAGGGGAGGGAGCCGGGCGCGCGATACATCTACTGCCGATCCGCTCCGCTCGTACCGCGCCCGCCCCGCCGCTCGGCACACGCCGAAAGTTGCGGCCGCGCCCGCACGGCCCCGCGCTGCCCGCGAGCTCGCGCTCGGCGCGGGGAGGGCGGGAGCGCGGAGCCCCGGCGCTGGTTGGGCCCCGCCGCGGGCCCGGGCCCGGCCCGGCCTCCTGACAACACCCCGCGAAGGAGGAGCCTCGCCGGGCCGCGCAGAAGGCGTCAGGAGCTGCGATTTCCAACTTAGCATCTTGGCAGGACCCTGCGGAAAGCGAGAGCGAGGAGGAAGGGGGAGGGAAGAAAAAAAAAAAAAGAAAAAAAGGACCCCCCTTCTTCCCCCCCCCCCCTCGGTGCGAGGGGCAGAGACAGAGAGGGGAGCGCAGCAGAGAGCGGGGGCAGAGCGAACGGGAAGCGGTGCCCGGCGCGGGGCGCGGAGCGGTGCCGCTGCCCGGCTGGCGAGGGCGGCCAGCCCCGGCCCCAGCCCCGGCCCCAGCCCAGCGCGGCGGCTCCCCCGGGCCCGCGGGTGTATGTGTGCGCGGGGCCATGTCGTATCCTCAGGGCTACTTGTACCAGCCGTCTGCCTCCTTGGCTCTCTACTCGTGCCCGGCGTACAGCACCAGCGTGATTTCCGGACCCAGGACCGATGAACTTGGGAGATCTTCTTCGGGCTCCGCTTTTTCCCCTTATGCCGGATCTACCGCCTTCACCGCCCCGTCCCCGGGTTACAACTCGCACCTCCAGTACGGCACGGACCCGGCCGCCGCCGCCGCCGCCGCCTTCACTTCCTACGTGGTAAGAGCAGCCCCGGGCAGCGGCACCGCGCCGGGCACGGCACCCCCTCCCACGGCCCCGCTTTTTGTTCCCGTTCGATTTCGGGGCTCGCGGGGACAAAAGGCGGCGCGGCCCCCGGCCCCGGCGCGCTCCTCCCGCACCGCGCAGCGCTGCGGACACGGCCCGGGGAGAGCGGCCGGGGCCGGGCCGGGCCGGGCGGCATCGCGCGGGGCAGCGGCAGCGCCGGAGGGACCGCTCCCGTTTCCCCAACGAGAGAAAAAATTATCTATTTTTGATTATATAGAAGAACAGACTGAGCGTCTGAAATCCGCAAGCGTTTTCTTGTTGCGGTGTAAAGGGGAACGAATAGACAGCGGGCGGCGGTGGGAGAAGTGCGGCCGGTGAGCCCGGCAACTTTCCCCGCTAATTGAGCTCCGATGGGCCCCGAGGCGCTCCGCCGCCGCACCCGAAATAAAGCCGGGGGTCGTGCTCGGCTCCTCCGCTCCGTTCGCGCTCCAGGCGGAGTTTCCTTGAGTTATTTCCCTTTTTCTCGTTTATTTTTCATTTTTATTTTCCCGGCCTCTTTTCTTTCGTCCTCCCGTTTGCTCTTTCCTTTTCCCTTTATTCCCGGCCCGGCAGGTTGTCCGCCGCAGCGGCAGCCCTGGGGAAACCGGGGGCAGCGGGGAGGCACTGAGAATGCAGCGGGGAAGGAAAGCAGCGGGAAGGCAGCGCCGCGCTCCCGACCGCGGGGCAGAGGAGCGGGGTTCCCTCGGGGCCGGAGCCTTCCGGCCGTTCCCGGCCCCCCCCCCCGCCCCCCGGGCCGGAGCGGCGCTGCGGGGCGCTGCGGGGCGCGGGCAGGCCCGGCTGCCCTTGCCGTGTCATTGCCGCCCGCCGCCGCCTCGCTCCGCGCTCACGGCCGCTCCGCGCTCTCTCCGCAGGGCTCTCCTTACGAGCACCCCCCGGCCATGGCGGGCTCCCTGGGCTACCACCCGTACGCGGCGCCGCTCGGCTCCTACCCCTACGGGGATCCCGCGTACCGCAAGAACGCGACGCGGGACGCCACGGCCACGCTCAAGGCCTGGCTCAACGAGCACCGCAAGAACCCGTACCCCACCAAGGGCGAGAAGATCATGCTGGCCATCATCACCAAGATGACCCTCACCCAGGTCTCCACCTGGTTCGCCAACGCGCGGCGGCGGCTCAAGAAGGAGAACAAGATGACCTGGACCCCGCGGAACCGCAGCGAGGACGAGGAGGAGGAGGAGAACATCGACCTGGAAAAGAACGACGAGGACGAGCCGCAGAAGCCGGAGGAAAAGGGGGATCCCGGCTCTCCGGACGCAGGTAGACGGCGGGCCGTGGTCGGGGGGGGGGTACGCGCCCTCGGGGCTGTCCGGTGCGCCCGGCGGGGGGAGCGGGCGGCGCCGCGCGGGCTTTGGGGACGGCTGCGGGGCCCTCGGGCCGCCCGCCGAGCCGCCCCCCCACCCCCGTCCTTTCCCCCGCAGGAACGGCGGAACCCAGGGCCGCGCCGGGATGCGAGCGCCTGCAGGAGCCCCCAAGTCCGCGGGAGGCCGAGGCCGGCCTCAGCGACTCGGATTGCAAGGAGCCGCCAGAGGAGCGGCTCGACGGGCCGCCCGCGCCGCCCAAAGCGCCCGGCGCTTCCCCGCTGGGGCCGTGCCCGGGGGGCCGCGGTCCGGGCCCCGAGGAGCCACCGCCGTTCCGGCCGCCCTCCGCCGCCGCGGGGCCGCCGCACGTCGCCGAGCCGCACCCGCTGCCGCCCGCCGCCGCCTCCGTCATCCACTCGCCGCAGCAGGCGGCCCTCGCCAAGCCCAAGCTGTGGTCGCTGGCCGAGATCGCCACCTCGGCGGACAGGGCGAGGGAGGCGGGCGGCGAAACGGCGGCCCCCGGCCCCGCCGTGCTGGGAGGCGGCGGCCCCCCGCGCCCCTCTCCGCCGCGGCCCCGCTCGCCGCCCGCGCAGTGCCCCTTCCCCAACGGGGCGGTCCTGCCGCGGCCGCTCTACTACACGGCGCCCTTCTACCCCGGCTACACGAACTACGGCTCCTTCGGGGCCCTGCACGGGCACCCCGCCGGCGGGCCCGCCGCGCCCGGCGCCGCCTTCAATGGATTAAACCAGACTGTGCTGAGCCGGGCCGAGGGGCTGGGGAAGGAGCCCAAGGCGGCCAGGAGCCAGCCCCAGGCGGAGCTCGGCAAGGACTCGCCTTACGAACTGAAGAAAGGTATGTCCAGCATTTAATGTCGGCTTCCCTCCTTCCCCCGCTGGGACTGTGCTTCGGTTCTTTTTCTTTTTCTTTTTTTTTTTTTTAATTTATTGAAAGAAATAAGAAATGCCGCGGCAGTTATTTTTCCACTACCAAAAGAAAGGCAAAAACGAAACAAACGGCGCCGAGCGGTTCCCCCCCCGCGCCCGCAGCGCTCCCCGCGGCCCCCACGGACGTTTGTACGGACCCCTCTGTATATTTAATGTAGCTTTTGTATTTAAATTGATAATACGGTATCTTTGAAGTAAATTATGAAATCGAGACACCTGTACAGGCATTAATGTTGTTTTCGTAATATAAATATATACATTTCTGTGTCTTTTTCCGAATTGTTTCATAGTTTTAAAAATATATATATACAAGTTTAATTTAATTTTTTATGGCTAGTGGTTTTTTTTTCCCCCTTGGGCGTGCGCTAAACTATAACGAGAAAAAAAAAAAGAAGGGCAAAGAGGAACGGGTCCCGCTTCTGGGATCCAGCGCTCGTTGGGAAATGAGCGGGCGGCACAACGCAGCCCCGCTCCGGCAGCCGCAGCCCCGCTCTCTTCCCGCAGCGGGCGCGGGGCCGATCCCGCACGTAACCTCATTACCCGCAATCAGTGCCGCGTTTCACGCGAAGCGATCCGCTGCTCAACTTCGCTAATGAGTTCGATTTTCTGCCAGATTTCCCCTCGCTGGCGGTGCCCGGGGCCGCGGCCGCGGGGGCAGCGCTCGGGGCCCCCTCCCAGGCCCGCGGTGCTTGCGGGCGGCGGCAGGTAGGGGTCACACTCGGCCCGGCTTTGGCGCCCGCCCGCCGCCGCGGGAGCTCCGCGCCGCCGCCCGCCGTCCCGGAGCGCTCCGAGCCCCGCAGTGCGCCGGGGGCCGAGGCGGGGGGCGGCGCCCGGTGCCCGCGGGAGCCGAGCGACCCGGTCCGGCGGAACGCAGCGTCGAGAGGGGGGCGGCCGGGGGCCGGGCAGGGCTCTGCTTTGCGCCGGCCGGCCGGAGCGGGGGGTGTCGGGCGGAGGCGGGCACGGGGAGAACGTTCCCAGCGGCGGGCAGCCCGCTTCGTTCTGTTCACGTGGGGTTCGGTTCGGGTTCGTTTGTTTGTTGTTTTTTTTTCTTTCTTTCTTTCTTGTTTTTATTTTTTTTCTGATCCGGATAATTATTCCGTGAGCCCTTCAACTTTGTCGGAGCCGTTCGGTGGCCGGAACGGGTTTATTCACGCGTGCGTGTGTGCTACGGGGGTTTAAA